AGGCATTGACGGCATGGCCAAGAAATGGGCCGGCAGGCTGGGCGAAGTGGCCGGATAAGACGGTCTGAAGGAGTCATCCGAGGATTGCGGATGCTGAGTGAAGACAGAGCAAGTGGTTTGTTGATCACGGAGCGATGCCTCTCTTCGTCTATCCGTTGGTCGGATTGGCCGGGCCGAGTCTTCCTTTGCTGTGACATCCTTTGCGGTGGACAGAGCGTCGACGCGCAGATACACTGAGGATCTCCCAGTCAAGAGATTGTGCCAACGGGTTGCTGCTCCATCGTGGGCGAGACTCAAACCCCGCCTCCTGAAGCATCGGACGGGCGACGATGGATAGGAGCCCCTGACTTGACGTAGGCGTATCAACCGTCCTCTCCGTTGGTAGACGCTGACGCGGGAAGTCCCTGTTTAAAGCATGGCCTCTATGTCCGTCAAAACGGTGTACCTACTGTGAAGGTACCGACGACAAACTGCCACTGTACAGCTACAAAGATAGACTTTCGTACGGCGGCAATGCGCGTCTAACGACTGGCTGGCTGCTCGCTCGATGGCATCCAACATCGATATATCGGCTATGTAGCATGGCATCCTACGTCAATACATCCACGAGAGGCGGCATCCAACATGAAATTCGGCATCACTAGTGACAGCCACGAAGGGCCGGATGGTTGCTCGCCGCAGCAGACGGAATGTTTGACAATGACTGTCTGTGATGGTCCGGATCTCATGACTGAGGCGGCCACCGCTCGATCACAGCTTGCACAGCCTGTTGGAATTATGTTGGGAATATTGATTGCCTCTAGCATCTGACCCCTTTGCCTGGCAGGAGATAGATACACTGGGCTGTCACATTGCTCAGAGCTGAGATGCGCAAGAACAGACAAACATCTCCAAGTCAACTGAGCTAAGGCAGACAGACAAACCTCCTGCCCTCTGGAGGCTATGCTTGGTGACCGAGACGCGGCCACCTTGCGGATGGAGAGGATCAAGGGGGGGAAACGACGGTAGAGAGTCGCACTGTTGATGGCCGGGCAGAGTTTGTTTGCGCAGCCCCTTGGGAATGGATGCAGGGCGAGAGGGGAGGGGATAAGGGACACGCTTCTCTATCGTTAGCGCTGTGATGGAGACAAGCATGAGTGAGTCCAAGAATGCGAGCCGAGTTCGGTCAGCTTGTTGTGATTGGAGAGAAGTTGGGAACGTTGGGAGTCCGTGATGACGAATGCTCATCCATGGGCGGTCTGCTGGATGGCCTCGTTTAGACTGCCAAGTGACACTCGGACGAGGCCGTTGTGGAGGAGGAAGTAAGGTGGGTATGGCTTTGGAGACGCTTCCGCTGTCAGGGAAAAGAGGGTGTGATAGAGGGTGTGATAGAGGGTTGGCGTACGTCGCTGCTGGACCGCGATGATGCCCTTGGTGTTCAGTTATCATGCTGTTCAGTTACACCGAGAGCGGCAAACCGTCACGATGGAGTCAGTAGTATGCGTGTAAGCGTCTAGATTGGAGGGCGATTGCGTCCATCGAAGCAGAGTCTCGACTTGCCCTAGTGCTCTCAGTTGATCTCTTGCTGCCTCTCCCTCTGGGCAATGAATAATCAGCATCTCAACAGCCAGACGCTGTTCTCTAAGCTCCAGGAAACACATGTAATCCCAGACTCCAAGCAGGAACTCTAGTTCCACGCGGAGGCCATGTATCCTCTACCAACGCCGTAGGTTCAAAACGCCGACATCGTCCCCCGTAGTCTATCGTCTATCCAAACGCTTGTTGTCATCTCCGCCATGTCGTCAGTCAATACCATCAAGCGTGAAGCTCTAGATCTGTTCATCGCCATCTCTACCGCTCAGCCCAGAGGGAAGTTGCCCACCGCGCCATCCTCACCACCGTCAAACAGCGCATTCGTTCCGTCCAACGCAGCGAAATGCTGCGCAAGCTCCAAGCCTCTACGCCGCTCCTGCTCCACCTTCCTCCAGTCCCACTCGCCGCTCTCATCGATGTCGCCGAGATCCTCAGGTGTGCCAGTCCCAGACTCTCCACTACGCCATCCCTCACCCGGACGCTCAGGAAGCAGCCCTGCGGCCTCGATCGCAATGGCCGGATGCACCGTGAACCTCCCGACCTTGAAAACATACTTGCTCACCGCCGTGGCGAACACGTACTTGCTCCAATCCTGCTCGTCAACCACCGCTCCATCTGCGTCCCTCACCACCCTGCTCCGCGTCGGGCCAGCCTTGACTCCATCCCAGGCGGTGGGCCTGACCTTCCCCTTGACGACAAAGTGCGTGATGATATACAGCCACTTACGATCCCATGACAAGATACGCGTCCACATCTCGTACCCCTGAAGCGGCGCAATCTCCTTGCGGAAACTGCAGAATACGGCACCGAGGCCGATGCCAAATCCGCCTTTCATGGGCTTTCCGTCCTTATCGAGAACCAAGCGGTACTTGAAATTCTCGTTCAGTTTCGGTACAGCGGAGCCGAGGATGTGGGTGACGAGGTGGGAGCGGGAGACATCCAGGTCTGCGAAGTATGTGGAGTTGGACTTGTGCATATTGTAATCGGTTTCGAGAAGAGAGGTGCGCGAGCTGGAGATGCCATAGTGGAAGAGGGCGCGTTGGGGGAGCTTCTTATTGGGCTTGACGAGGTGGTAGATCCAGGAGTGAAAGACGCGGAACTGGGAGGGTGTTAGTTCAGTTGACTTGGAGTGGGGGGGAAGGGATAGGGGCGTACCGTCCAACCCAAAGGCATGCTCTTCCAGTTGATAAGAACGAAAAGGACGAGAAGGATGCGGCTGGTTCGGCCGGGGCCGCTGACGAAGTTGTGAAGCCATGATTGCCAGTCACTCTGGAGGATTCGGTGTCCGCCGTAGACGGCGCCGGCTGCCGCGGCCGGTACGAGCACCGGAAACAGAGCGCCGAATTTTCCAACGGCCGATGCCATACCTGCTGAAGAGGGTCTATTCTCCAATCCGGTTGTAGCTCATCAATTGGGCGGAAGAGGCTTGCGTCTCGGCGCTGGACCTTGGCGGGAGGGCGCGAGTCGGTGTCGAAGGGCGCCGAGAGCAAAGACGACTATCACGACGATCCAGAGAGGGACGTTGCGCAGGAAGCAAAAGAGCGTACTCCCGCACTTGGAAAGGAGGGAGGAGCTGGCGGCGCCCGGGAGGGGCATCGCTCCGGGCGGCTTTGAGTTTTATCGCGGTGCGCCCTTTTCGGATGCGTCGGTGGATTGCATGTTCGAGCTGGTGGAGGCGATGTCAGCGGCGGGCAAGGTTACCGCTGTCACGGCATGTGGTTTCTGGTGTCGCAACCACTGCCGCCGCGAACGCGATGTCCTGCGTTCAACTGAGCCGAGGCTCGGGGCTTGCCGCTCTGTGGGGGTTGATAAGTCGGACAAGTTGACAAATCAAGTTCGAGAGAGAACACTGGACGTAATTGGACGCCAGTTTTGTTGGGGACGGCGACGAGCTTCAGCGGCGTCACTCCTTATCGGAGACCAAAGCCCCTTATCGGCTACATCCCAGCCCTAACCCTTACAATGTCCCCTTCTTCCTTGTCAACATCAGTCCCTCTTTTGCTGTCTCATGCACGTTTGACAGGAAGTGAATTTCTCAAAATGAACCCACTTGCCTCGGGACTGCGCCAAGGAGCTTCTATATCCCCGAGATGACGGCCGCTCCCTCCTAGACCGCGGACTGACAGGGCGCTAGCCACTGAGACCGGGCTGTTCGCACTTCAGGTGAACCTCGGCAATGCACCGACTCCACCAAGTCAGTTCGAACCGCGTCTTAATTCCACGTCTCCTCGCCCATCCCGGCTCCGTGGCCACGGAAAGACGGCGCAAACTTACTTTCCGCAACGGCTTTTGCTTACCGCCTATTCCGGCCCTTCCGTATTGCGCACCCAGGCACGCACCACGATGGCCGCCGGCACACAAAAGCAAACCCCCACTCGGGAAGCCGTCCCGGATCCCGAAGTCGCCCATTTTCTCGCCATCCCGTGGTGTGCCGCTCAACTCGCCGCCACCCCGGACCTGGTCTTTGAGAAATGCATCACTCGAACGCCAAAACCTCAATACGAAGAGGCCCTCATGGCCCAAACCCTCAACCGGCCTGACGCCATCAAAGCCTACGCCGTATTCTATTCCCAACCCGCCAATCCCCAGGATCTGCTCACCGAAGTCGGCGCCTTCCTCACCCTGGGTCCTATGGTCAACGGCTGGCGCGGGATCTGTCACGGCGGGATCGTCATGACTATTATGGACGAGTGTCTAGGCCAGCTGGCCGCGATCAACAGGCACCGGGGAGTTGCACCGAATGCAGAGCAGATGACGGCGTATTTGAATACCAAGTTTCTGAGCCCTGTACGGACGTCAACCGACGGGACCACGGTCATGGTCAAGGCTCGGATCACGAAGCGCGAGGGGAGAAAGCAGTTCGTTGAGGGACACATGGAGGATGCCAACGGGACAGTATTGTGCCGTTCGGAGGGGCTGTTTATTCAACTTTTGGCAAAGATTTGATCAACTGCACATTGCATTGCTTGGCGCTGGATATTTGAGAGCATAGATAGATGGAGTTGGCGGGATTGTGTAATACCAAGTGGCTTATGCTTTGGATCCATGGCGATGGTTTTGACTTCCCTTTCAAGTGCTGGACGTTCATTCTTCCTCATTGCTTGTACACCTTGATCACTAACTTGCCGAAATGCTTTCCAGTACCCAGATCATCAAAGGCGGCCTAAGCGTCTTCGAAGTCAAAGACGCGGTCATCAGCCGGCGAGTTCAGGTTCACTTTCTTCTCCTCGCGAATGCAGAACCATCTCAGGAGCTAACCCCTGAAGGGGGAACCGCCACACAGAATAGACCTCCAGCCTGGGAAAAGCAAAGAGAAGAGATCCAAGCTGGATTTTCCGTTTTTCATACGCTGTCTGGCTTCCGACTTGTCCAACCCGGCCGGTTGCAGGTACCCGAACACACTTCCCGAGCCGGCTTCACATGAACCAGGCAACTTGGCCGAGCTGGTTAAGGCGTTAGACTCGGGGAAATCTCCTTGCCTCTCAAAAGAGGATTTATTCTAATCACGAAAGTGGCGTGAGTTCGGGTCTCACAGTTGTTATCATCTTTTTGCAGTTGTGTGCTGCGGTGCCTCCACCTTTTGCTGGAGCCTTGATCACATCCCCATCCAGGTTGGGTGATAATTAGTGGATGTTCTAATACATTGCGGATCCTTAGTCGCTTTGTCCACCATCATTCAGCGAAAACTTTTCTCAAGCTCGAGTCCTCAAGATGAAATTTTCATAGGATTTGCCAAGGGGTTTGTGTTTGGCTCATTGTTTGCAGAAGAGTGAAAGGGGGGAACACACGAGGACTGTGATCTTTGGTCATGGACAAGGGGTCATGGTGAGTGCTTGGAGCGCTGAAAATAGATTGTTAGGGCCAATGCTTGAACTGGATCCCACATTTCGAATCAATGACATCCGGAAAGCATATCCGAACCTGAGTTGACATCGCGCCAACTCCTACCAATCAGCAAGGCGACATTACCTATCTTCCTTCCTACAGCACCGGTACCCATCTAATTATTTCATCCGATTTTCCGAGTTTTCGCATTGAACAGAAGTTGAACTCGGCGGATCCCTGTCGTGCTTTCCGGGTGAAGAGGCGCGTTGTCTAAACGCCAAGTCCCGATAGGTTCGCAGCTATCAGAGAAACGGCAACCCCGCTTCCTCTTCTTGAATGCCGAAAGCAAGACGCGTTCCTCTCACGGAACAAGTTACACGGGAGCCCAAACGACGTTACACGATCTATGAAGAAGGATGATCCGGCAATATCAGCACTCTCTCGGCAACTGGGATTGGTACCCGGCCGCAGGAAATCCTGCACGGTTCTATGTTCAACTCAATCGAAATGACGGCGACATGGATCTGGGCTTACATCCGGCACGAGCCGGACATTCTGGCGCGCGGTAGTGGTATATTCCAGAGCCTTGGGATCTCACCGTGAATCATCTGGAATGAAAGATAAGATGCCTTGCCCCCTCGACGCACTCACCAGGATGAGGTTGCTCAGTCGCCAAGCTGACAGACGATCAAGGGAAAACATGGCGTGGGCGAAGTTTCTCGTTTGCTTGCTCCTGAGCGCACCGCTCGGTCTCTGTCACCCAGGGGAGGAGGAGAAGATCTACCAACATGCCGCTCGACCACTGCACCACCGCTCGCCGCACATATCCCAGTGCAAAGCCGCCTTCCAAGAGCCCGAGTTCATTAAGCGGACGATTGAGCGACGCCATACCGAGGTCGAGAGGCTGAGGAAAGAGCGCGGGATCAAGCGTCGGGCCTCGCCACCCCTTGTTCAAGAGCGCCAGTTGGACAAGCTGACTGCCATTCTCAACAAGGATCATCAGGTCAAGAAACCATTCAACAAAGACACCAAAGCCGCGGATCTCTTTGCCGACGATGGCGCCTGCATGACGGCACCCCTTGTATCCGAGGGCCCGTTGTACGTCAGTGGCGAGCAGGTCCGCAGAAACTTGACTGAGGGCGAGGCCGGCGTGCCCATAACCCTCGACATTCAAGTTGTCGACGCCAAGACATGCCTGCCACTCAAGAATGCTGCCGTTGATATCTGGGGTTGCAATACCACCGGCATCTACAGCGGAGTCTGGACCTATTACAGGAGGCCCGACGGAGATGCCACGTACGACAGGTCTGTCATCAACGCCACTGCCCTCCGCGGCATTCAGTTCACCGACGACGAGGGCGTCGCCAAGTTCGACACATTCTTCCCGGGACACTACGAAGGCCGCGCAGTCCACATCCACGTCATCGTTCACCTCGGCGCAAAGCTCCAGGCCAACGGCACCATCACGGGCGGCCAGATTGCCCACATCAGCCAGCTCTACTTCGACCAGAAGCTGATCACCGAAGTCGAAAAGCTCAACCCGTACACAAAAAACGTGCAGAATCTGACGTTAAACTCGAACGACGGGCTCTTGAAGCAAACCACGTTTAGTGACGATCCCTTCTTCCGCTACGTTAAGCTCGGTGATAAGGTTGAGGATGGCATCTTCTCGTACATCCGACTGGGAGTCGACACGTCGGCAGAGTATACCGTTGGCCCCGCCGCGTACCGGGACGAGTCAGGCGGCCATCAGAATTTGACCGGACCGGGAGGTGATGGATCAGGGCCACCGAGGATTCCCCCGAATCCCACCCCTTATCAACGTCCGGCTTGAATCTAGAATAGGGTCAAAGCGTTGATCAGGTATCGTCAAGAATCAAAACCACAAAATGGAGAGTGAAGAAGTTGAAATTGGTGCTTTTGGCAGGTATCGTACCGTACATATTTGGATATTTGGAATCTTCATCACTTGCTCTGTTTACTTGTTCCTCAGTTTTTGGCGTCCCTGTGTCACCTCATACATCTGACTATGTCAAAGACTGCCCACCATACCCAAGAGCCCCAACACCCGTCCAACCAAAAAGACACCCCCCCCACGTGCTCACTATCAACTCAACACCCTGCCAAAAAGAGATGTTTGCCCACTGCCAGAATTGAACTGACGACCTTGTCATTACTAGTGACACGCTCTACCACTGAGCCAAGCGGGCAGGGGTGACGAGGCTCCACCATAGGAGGAGTGAGGGCATCACCGGATGCGTCAGCCGCGAATCGAACGCGGGGCCCATCGATGGCAACGATGGATTTTACCGCTAAACCACTGACGCTGGTTGTTTGATGGATGTCGGTTGTGGAATCTGCGTTTTGAGGGACTGGGGGTGGATGTTAGATTTCCATCGTGGTCTGTTTGTTGAGAAACTCCTGCCAAAGGATGCACTTTGGCTTTTCAAGGATGCAGTCTGTTTTGGACACAAGTGTCTTCTTGAGACTGAGTGAACAGGGTCTGTTTGTCTGCCCCCTTCCCATGCCCGGGCCCGGGCTGCCGTTTGTTCACCGAAAGCATTTTCGAGAATTTCCTGCTCCTGGTACACGGCATTTGTCACACAAGTTCTCTCTTTCAGATGTAGCCTTGCTCTACTGTGCCCAGTGCATTTGCAACACATCATTGTTTTACCCTAAAGTTGCCCTTGGCAATTTCCATGTTCGTGCGTGATTCTGAGCCGCTCCTGAGCTAGGGTGGGTGGCCCAATTTTGGACCCTCGACTAAAGTTGCCATCCGGAGATTCCGATACGTTCCTCGGTTCATGCTAACTATGCCGCATAGGGTGCAGCCACTTCAGCAGTGAAAGTTAGTCGCAAAATAGGATTTTACTGGCATGAATTGCACACTACAGCTCTGAGCAGAGGGAATAGGCTCCCTAGAGGCGTCCAGCAACCCTCTGAAGGTGTTCAGCAGCTCTTTGAAGGTGTTTGTTAACTTTTCGAAGGTGTTTATTAACTCTATGAAGGCGTTTCGTGTCTCTCTCGAGGCCTTTGGTGGTTTTCTGAAGGCCTTGAAGAGGTAGCAAACCGTCAAACTGATTCTTTCCACCACGTGGCACGGTCCAGTTAGCGCCTTAGCGTTAAGACTACCATTCCTCGGTTCGACAGCTTCTGTGTTTCCTGAGGCTGGTGGAAGGCCTAAGCTAGTATGATGTCTAGCGCGCAAAATCAGTGCCTGAATAAGCCGCTTGGTCCACGTAGAGTAAGTTGAATATAGGTATAGTGGAGCTAGATTTTAAGGATGTAGAAGGCCTAAGTCTTGTGGATGATGCTGTGGAATTCTGCGTTCAAAGTGATCGGAGCAACCAGTACTAGGGGGGGGGGTCCTAGCTTTGGGCCACCTGTGTCCCAAAAACTGGGACCTCGCGAAAAGTTGCCATTCGAACTATGTTTGGCGATTTCTCTGATCATTCCTGAGCAGCTCCTGAGCAACGCCTGAGTAGCGCCTGAGCAAGGTGGCTAGGGATGGGGCGGGTGACCGAGGCCGGTGAGGGCAACTTTAGGGTAAAACAACACATTCTCTCCAAAGACCCGCAAAAAGAATACTTCCACATACTCACAGTCATCAAAAAGGAAGCTGATGATGAGAGTGGGATTCGAACCCACGCCCTTTCGGACTACGGAATCAAGATCTCGAAAGATGCTGATGTTATTAAGGAACTCCTTAACGTAGCGCCTTAGACCGCTCGGCCATCTCACCTGTTGCTGATGGTTTTGGGAGGGTATTCCTGTCCTATGTGTGGGTTGGTGTGGTGGTGCGAGTCATGGATTCAGGGGTTCAGGGGTTGGTGGATGGATAGGGGCTAGGGCTTGGTGGAGATGGAGATTGTTCACGTGACGGACCTTGAGACTGAAGATGGCCCTTTGATTTGATTTTGGGTTGGGATTTGGAGTTCGAGCGAGTGATTCAAGGGTTGGACTCTTATACTGAGCAGCTTGGTCGGAGTCTACTGCCCAGGCCGCACAGGTTTCCTTCAACTTCTGTAAGCGATTCAGACTGTCTGGAACAACCAAGTGTCAACTCCAAAGCTCCAGGCTCAAAACTTTCATGTCCCTTTGAAAGTGCTCCTGTGGTTGATTCCAATCTTGATGCTTGGCACCATAAAAGAAAACGTGAAGCTATTTCCCGCCACACACACTATCATCACCAAGCATAGCTCCAAGATCCGTCAGCCTCTTACTAAAACGAACCTCAGCTCAAAAAGCCTAACCGTAATGCCAGCCCAAAAGTTCCAGAAGTTTCAGCCCTATTTTAGCCCTGTCTGCCCTGCTGCCTCAGCTCCCACTCCCACGCATCATCCATCCGATCACAGCCCTATCTACCCGCCCTGACTCTCAAAATAGCCCGGCCTGCCTACCCGCCCAAACCCCACCTAAATATATTAATGACCAAGCATCATCCATCATCATCACCCCAGCCCAGCACAGCACAGCTCCTCGCTTCCCAATTTTCTTCAACACCCGTCAGAAAGGAAATTACCCCTCCTTCTCTTCCTTCACCTTCGCCTTCGCCTTCGACGCACCCCACACGACGCATGCACCGCGGCGATGATGACTCGGGATGTTTTTTTTTGAGAACGCATCCCCGTACTGTAGCCTCTGTCTCACCTGTACTGTAGCCCCACCTATTCCACACTAATAACCCTAACCCTCGCGACAACCGTTTTTTTTTCT